GAACAAAGGCGAAACAATACAAAGCAAAAATACAGACAATTTTGGAAAGATCAGGTCAGCATGCATAAGGGGGATCTGCTGACAAAGGTTTACCTGTTCAAGTCAAGTTTATGCCTTTGATCTTCTATCCACTCTCCTCCCATCCCTCCACTGTGGATAGAGGGAGATCGCCAGAGGCGTATTTCCTATGTAGGTCCCACAAATGGATCTTGGGCTCCCACGGTCATCCATAGCATTCTGAAAACCAGATTCTCACACTTCAGGCTCTAATCCCTCCTTCAACTTCGGATGACATGCTTTACAATCCTTCATTGACTGATGACGGTGTGTTTCTTCCCTGTGGACGTAGTTGACATCTCACTCAGTTGGCTGCTTGTTTGGAGAGAAGTCTTTAAGACCCCCTAACATTATTTTATCTGATAGCCGGACACCATCTAATTTCTTCACCAGATTTTACTATAGCATCTCTCTCCGTGTTACCTTCCTGAGGGCGAGTATCGAGCAGGGCCTTGATGTAAGAACTAATTGTTCTTAAGTTGGAGCTAGGATTTAGTGTGAGCCCCGAACTTAAGGACTTTCCTAGCACTTAAGGACTTCAGTTGGAAACTACACGGTGTCTGAGGAAGGAGAAGAAAGCTGTACCATGATTGGTGAGCTGTTGGGAGACGGACAGATAAGGTCTCACTACATCAATGCCCTCTATGTTGTACTAAGATGTGTGTTATTCTAGCAAACCTGTGACGGTCATTCTGTTTTTATTTGCATTTTGGGGGGCTCACATTAGGGTGTATCTCAGAGGTGCTGTCATTGGGGGTTACCGTCTTGAAGTTGTGATACATGTTTTTAGGGTTTTTTTCAGTAAGTGAAACTCAACAAGTAGAACAAGGATTTTAAGGGGACAGGGTGGTGCAGGGGAGGGAGGAGATAAAAAGGAGACCATGTCATAAAATCCAGGAATAAATGGTATGTTTGGAAATGGATGATGGAAACGATGGTACAATTCTGCTCGACATGATTAAATGATGCAATGACATGACGTTTGTTAATGCCCAAGTAATAATAAATCTGA